TAATTTTATTTAAAAAATTATAAATACTTTTCAAAATTCCAGGCAAATTTGCCTGGAATACGGTTTAAGGGATAATAAAAACTGTTTCATGTGTTTATCCAGTAATTGTATTACCAAATGTTTGGTTTGACATCGAATACAAACCTTATTACCGACCATATCATAGACCCAGACAAATTTCATATAGGCCATACAGGCCAAGAAGAAGACGTGTACCAAACTACATAGCCGCTTGCGGATATTGTGGTGATGAAAATCATGCTAGAAATAATCCAAATGCCCCTTGTCGAAATCAAAACTGTATCAATCCTGGATTGGTAAGATCACTCATAGAACAAAGGTTAGATTATATTGAAAATGGAATTCAAATGCCAAATAACATAGGTCAAGGACCTCCTAATAACAATCAAAGACCAAATAGACAAATTCCACCAAGAAATAATGGTGGTAATGGTAATAGTAATGATGATGATGATGGAGATGATGATAACAATGATGATGGTAATCCCCCTCAAAATAATATACCACAAGCACAACAAAACCAACAACCGAATCAACAAAATTTAAACAATAATATCGATAGATTAAGAGAAGATATCAGAGCTGGAAGACAACAGTTTAGAGATACTATAAGAAATCTGTTTAATACACAAAACAACGCGTTGAATCAATTAAATAATAATATAAGAAATTTAAACACAAATCAAAATGATCAATTAAACTTATTAAATCAGATAAGAAATCTAATCAATCAACAAAATAATAATTTCAATAATCTAAATACTCATCAAAACACTGATATTATTAGAAGAATTGAAAATTTAAGACAAAGATATGTGGACAGATATCAAGAATTGGCTACTGATATCAGAAATATTAGAAATGATTATAAAAATACGATATAAACAGTTCAAAACCAAAATCAACAACAAATTATAAGAAATAATGAAGATTTGAGACAAATTTATCAAAATATAAATCAACATTATAATGATATAATTAGGAGATTTGGTGAGATGAATCAAGGAACCGGTTTAATGAGACAAGAAGATTTACATAGAATCGAAAGAATGGAAAATTTTATCAACCAATTGACAAATATCAGAAACGAATTTAGAGATACAATAGACACTATACAAAATCAAATTCAAAATCAAAATTATGAACCTATCATCACACGATTTAGAAATGAAATTGGAAACATCATTCAAAATCAACAACCAATTGTAATCAACAATGATCAAACTTTTGAAAATATGTTTGAAGAATTTAGAACTAATTTGCATGATACAATCAACCGTCAATTCGATGAAAGACAACAAGGATTTATCAATTCTATCATCAACACAATTACAAATAACAGAAGAAATTTTAGGATTAATCGAAGAAGAGAAATACAATTTAGACCTAGATACTATACCAGAATTAACATCCAAGAATACAAGAATTACCAAATAATCAACTATTCACAGAATTCCCAGAATTAACAGACATTCAACCTAATGAAAAACCTTATGGAACACCAGGTTCCTCCAATCAAGCAAGAGATCAAAACCAATATATGCAAGGACTTATTAGACACATGACCTCAACTGGTCAAGAAATAGGAAAAGCTAGAATAAAACCAGAAAGTTCAAGTAGCATTATCTTTGTAATTGATGATATGGCATTTCAAAAACAAAAACGTGACTCATCAGATTCCAATAATTCAGAAGAAACAATCAGATATAAAAAAGGAGTATCACGCACATCTTCAAAATTTTCAATAATTGAAGATATTGAATATGAATATGACCCTAACCCACAGAGAGAATTGAATAATTAACAAGAACAAGAAATACAAGCCAGAGTTTTAACACCGGTAACACCAGAATTGATCGAAGAAAACCAAATTAGTATAATATATGAAAATGAAAACACCAAACAAGAAATATCAAGCAATACTAGAAATAGGCTTATTAATTTATTTGCTGGTATTGGAAAAAAACAAAATAAAAAATAATAAAATAAGTAAAAATAAGTAATATTACGTAATATTTTTAAATCTTTTTAAAGATTTTTTTGGATTTTTCTAAAATTTTTAAAACTAAAAAGGAAAGATATACAAATAAATAATTAAATTAATTAAATCATTATTATATTCTTTTTTTCTTATTTTTTAATTTACTTTCACTACTACTAATCTTTTGTTTAACTTTATCAATAATATGTGAAACTTTTTTAGTTTTCATAAATTTATAAATTTTTTTTAAAAGATCTGCATTTTCAATATATACAAATTCAGTTAATTTTTCATTTTTTTCTGTATCTGAAATTCCATCATATTCTTCATCGATAATGACATCAACTCTTTTTTTAAAATTATTAACCGCCCATTTATAAAATTTATATTTGAAAATACTTGATAATGCTAAATTATTACTAATTATAATAATATTTTTATCTTTGTATTGTTCCTTACTAACAATACTTCATTTAATAAGATCGTATAATAAATGCAAAGAATTGGCATTTGGATCATCATCTTCTACACGATCAATAAGTGTAACATCACTCTTCTCAAGTTTCGGATCTAATCTATAAATTGCTATCGTAGTTTTTTTTAAAAGTTTATTCTTGGTTTAATGGCTAACATTGATATAAAAATATTCTGGTTCTTTATCCTCTCGAGTTTCTTTAAGTTTGTTATAAAAAGTAACAAGTTTAACTGAAATTTCTGACGCGTAGTTTACACTGGTGAATCCTTTGTATGTTAAATTACTCCTTTTTAGATCTTTTGTAAAATTATTCACAACATCTCCAGTATCCAAACAAATATATACTGTATAATTTCCTTCATTTTCCATTTTATTTTTTTGTTTTAATATTTGGATTTTTTTTGATTTTCTTTCTATTTTTTTTTTAATTTTCTTTCTATTTTTTTTTAATTTTTTTATAACATTTTTCGTCACACAGAAATTTTACCTTATTATTAATATAAATAATTAAATTAATAATAATTGATTTTTATTTATATTTGATTTTTTAACTTTTTATTAAAATCATTTAAAAATGAGTGATGAAAAACCAAAAAAAAGAAAAAAAAACAATAAAGATAATGAATTTGATAATTTAAAAGAAATCGTTAAACAAATTATTAATCAGAAAAATGATGAACCTAATGAAATATCGGAAATTGATAAATTAAAATCATTAAATAAAAAATTACAAAAAGAAATAGAAATTCTTAAAAAAGAAAAAAAAAACAATGAAAATACAATATCAAATCTGAAAAATGAACAAATCATCCTTAAAAATGAACAAATTACAACTTGTAATTTTTATGTTTTAAAAAATAACATCATTGATTATCTTTTAAAAAAGCATTTGACAGAATTTAATAATTTCATGTATAAAGATCTAGCTAACATAAATACAAATATCTTAAACTATCTGAATAATGGAAAACAATCTGAAATTTGTAATGAATATTTTAAAAATTTGAATAACTCATGTAATGATGTGTTATTGGATTATACCACAACAAATAATAATTAATTTATTTATTAAATAAAATATTTTATTAATTATCTTCAAACGGATCCTCCTTATCATTATTAACTTTTGAAAAAAAATCTGTTATTTTTTTTGCTATTCTAGGTCGTTTAACATCTAATATTTTATATTCTTTTTTTTTTCTTTTATCTTTTTTATCATTACCACCAATGAAATTATCCATCACACTAACATCGTTTGTATATTTACTAATCAAATCTTTTAAATATTTCCTTTTCACTAATACTCAATCCTACATATAGAATCGATTTCACACCTTTTAAATAATGATATTTATCAATTTTATGCTGATTCCGATCAAAATAATCAACCAACACCATTCGATTTGATACACTTTTTTTCCTGTTAATAGCTATTATATAATATAAGAATCTCGGTAAGGGTACTTCTATTTCTTGTTTTTTCATTCTATTTATAAAATGAATAATACTTTTATTTCCTAAATTAGTAAAAGATGCTTGCTTTAAAGTAGTGTTCTTATAAATGAAATCTCTATCTATCAAATGCCAATCTTCAAATTCTGCTAATCTTTTTTTTTCAATATCTATCTCGTTTTGAAATATTAATTCATCATCGTCGAAATATCCGGTAGAGTTTGTCATATTCTCTTTTATATATTTTTTAATATATTCTATATCTGATATCTCTTGATCATTCTCATACAATACTAATTTATCATTTTTATCAAATCCAATTATCCCCTTTTCCAAGTTATATTTTAAAAACTTTGCAAGTCTATTTTTAATAACTAAACCATCACCAGCTTCATTATTGTCATATTCTTCTTCATTTCTATCTTCATCACTATCACATTCTTCATCCTCATTAATGTCTTTAAAACTACTTAAATTTATTGTTTGTTTTTTATCATATAATAAAATCTTTCTGTTTTCATATTTCCAATTATTTTTTTTGAAAGAATTAGTTTGCATTATTTCAATTATTGAAATTTCTTCATTGTCATTTTCAGTATTATTTCTTTCTGTCATTTCAAATAATTTCATATCTAATTCTACTTCCTTATAATACAAGTATCTGATAAATTCTTCTGTTATATTTTCAAACACGTGTTTCATCCAAATATTTTCTTTATCCTGTCCATTAATGAACGAATAATATTGTTCGATATTTGTGAATTTTAAATTATAAATATATTCTATATATTTATCAAGATCAAATAAAGTATATAACAACTTTTTCATAAAAATTCTATATATCTTTGTTGAATTTCTACGTACTATATCAACTCCCTTTAACAAGAGATTGTCAAATTTTTTGCAATATGATAATAAAATATATTCATCAACAATAAATTTATTTGATATTTCTTTAGAAACTAATTCAACACCAAATTTTTCCTTATATAATTCTTCAACACCAATCCATTTATTATCAAAATAATAATTTGGATCAGTATATTTCAACATCGTATATTTTTTCTTTGTTTGATAAAATATCAGAAGTCCTGCTTTCTCAAATTCAATAACTATATGTGGATTTTTCTTTTTCAACCATGTATTAATTTCCTTTTCAAATTCTTTAAATCATGTAAATGATTCAATAAAAATATCCTTAATTAATTCGAAAAATATTTTCTTAAATTCATCCATTGAATTGTTTTTATCCAATAATCTTTCCTCATATTGACATATCGTCTGATTTATAAAAATCGGATTTTTTAACACAAATATCGAATCCGTATCTGAATACTCCCAAATAAATTCCGGTATATTAAGTTCTTTACCCATTTGAGATTCTGCAAAATCCGATACTTCAACCAAATATTTTCTTTCAAAAGCAGTAACTGATGCCGATATCATGTAGTTGTT